TATTTATTTATCTATCTATCACTACTTTTCGACAGTTTAGGATACATAATTATATTAAGTAACATCAATATTTGTATTTCTATAAAGATGTAAATGGAGCAGATCGCTTACTCAGATGCATGCACGCACGCACGCACGCACGCATGCACACACACACACGCACACACACACACATACACACACACATACATACACACACACACACAAGCACACACACACATACATAAACACATGTACGCGCGCGCTCGTTCACATTACACTCAGTATACAGGTGTGTATATTGGGGATGGCAGATAGATAAATAGATAGATAGACCTAAGGAGAGGGTGTGGTGGGAGCTAAAAAAGAAAGGTTGGGGAGGGATAGAGAGTATATGTGTGTGTGTGCGTGTGTCTGCGCGCGCGCGCGTGCGCGCGTGTGTGTGTGTGTGTCTGTATGTTAGGGGCGGGGGAGAGTGAGGCCCAAGTCGTCGCTGTGTGCAAACAAGGTTTATATAATAGTCTCTGTGAAGCGTAAATGCTCACGTCTGTCTCGGGTAACTGGATCGAGCATCAAAGAAGTGGTTGGCGCGATGGTACGTGTAACAAATCAGAACCCCCGCCTTCACGGCTCATTCGGAAAGATCAGTTCTTCTAGATCTAGACAATAATTCCCAAAGATCAGTAAGTTCTAGACCGTATGTGTGATGGTGGTAGAAAGGTGGTTGATAAAAGAAGGGCGAGGATATTAGATGTTGGCAAATATACACCCTCTTAATCTTGATTTCTTTTTTATATACTTCTCTTTCTTTCTCTCTCTCTCTTTCTCTCTCTCTCTCTTTCCCTTACTCTGTGTCTGTTTGTCTGTTTGTTTGTCTGTCTGTCTGTTTGTCTGTCTGTCTGCCTGTCTGTCTGTCTGTCTGTCTGTCTGTCTGTCTGTCTGTCTGTCTGTCTGTCTGTCTGTCTCATTCTCTCTGTATATTTCTCTCTGTTTGTCTCTCTCTTTCTGTCTTTCTATCGTCTTTTTAAAACACACTTTTCTGATACTCTCACACAAATGCACGTGAGCACGCACGCGCTCCCGCACGCATGTGCCTGCACGCGTGCGCACTTACACACACACACTTACACACGCACAAACACGCTCGCGCGCGCGCGCACACACACACTTACGCGGACGCATACATACACATAATTTACACTATTGGCGTTTCTTCTGAGAACAAGAACAAAATCAAAAAGAAGAGGAAAAAGAAGAAGAACGATTTTGATACTACGGAAAAAAAATATTTTAAAAATATTTTTTACTAAACTTCTCACATTATAAGATCGTTACACACAAGGTGGAGTTTCGGCAGCAGCGATGTTAGTAGCTGTCATGGAACCGTAGCACATGACGTAGATTTGGTAGAAACCGCCAAAATCGAGTTGTACCGTGCGTACAAGTTGTGAATGAGCTTTCGGTCAAAGAACGAAAAGTAAGAAGAGACGAGAAAAATATGCTCAGAGTGCATGCAATTTTCTCTTCCACCTCCTCCCCTGTTTTCATTTCTCCCTCTCTCCCCTGTTCCCCTTGCTCCCCTGTTCCCCCTGCTCCACCCCTCCCCCCC